CCGCTCCCTTCCCCTGTCTGTAGCTGACTGCCACTGCATTTTTCTGGGTGAAGAGACCATGAGCTTATTGATCAGCGTTCATGTGATCAGTTAGCTCTCAGTGTTAGAGCCGGTGTGGGAAAGCAGCAGTGTCCCATGCAGGCTTTAAGTGTTTGGGAGAGTATGTTTTACTTTCCCCATGCTTCTCCATTAAGTAGTTCTTTTTTATATTATAGTCACTTGTGAAATAGTTGTATTTTACTTGGGAAATATTTGAAAATAATCTATAAACTTTTATTAATAATAATTTTTGTATTTTATGAACCACTGTATATAGTAATTAGAAGCGGAAGTATACCCAATCTGTCACCTTCTGCCTTTTTCCATCAAGGATATCCTAGCTCTGGTCACACTTTCCACCGAGACCATAGCCTTGCTTGGCTTTATGAGTATTACCTGCCAGGAGATTATGATTATTTGTCCTAAATCTAAATAAGATTATAAAGAAAAGGGAAGTCCTACACTACTTATTGCTTTTACAGAAACATTTCCTGGCAGCCAAGACACATAAAAATTGCAAAAATATATACTTTTTTGGGATATTGATTGCGTATCACTTACTATACATTACCCTAATATCCTCTTGATTTGAATAGAGTGGGGAAGGATGAGAACTTCTCTCTTTCTGTCCTGGCAACAATGGAAACAGCATTGCTGGGGGAATTTATCTATCTTTCTAACAGAGCCGTGAATAGCAGCAAAACCAAACAAAAGGTTTACTCCCCCTCCACTATATGCACAGCTAAATAAAAAAAAAAAAACTGTTTTGTTGGGACATGCACTTTAGAGGGTGTTTTCACTTAAAATACAAAAGGATACCCTTTATAGAGGGTTTTTCTTCCCCCACCCTAGACTTTCTCTGTTTCTTTAGAATTAGGAATTACTTTTATCTCATGCAGTAGTGAAACAGATACAAATGGTATCCTTGCAGGACCACTGAGACAGAAAAATTATCTGGCTGAACTCAGTAAACCACTAAAGTGTCGATAGGTCCAACGAGAATCCCAACTATCATTACCATTTTGTATTGCTGTAGTATATAGTTTAATTTCATATTTTCATAATACTTATAAAAACAAAAGGGCTAGCTCACCTGATTTGTAATTACCCCAATATCCCTGGCCTCCCCTTGACAGGTCATCACCATAAATTAGCCCTTTTCACGGATGATATACTACATTTCCTCACTAACCCCATGTTTCCATGCCAAATCTCCTCATCTATAAATATTATGTGGCAGCCCAATTGGCTACTCTAACCAAATACCATGATTGAAGTCCATCTCTGGGTATCTGTTGAAGCTCTGGACTTCAATTCCTTGGGTATAGATAACCTGTTAAAGCTACTTCTGAAAGACAGATAGGGGATAACAAATCCAATTATATTGCACTCTCTCAAACTGTGGGACAACCATAAATACTCAAGTGGTCTGATATCACCACACCGATCCCTATTTTCTTTTCTTCACAACCCCTTTTTTTACCTGGTATGGAGCAGTCTGGTCTGTTTTAGTACTGGAAAAAAGCAGGTATCACTTGCTCCCACTCCCTTATCACCTCCTAGGGAATAAAATATTTCCCTACTCTGAGGGAGTCTTATAAATTCACTTCTTCTGAAGTATTTCGTTATCTCCAAGTTAAACATTTTCTCACCTCTCAAATTCACATTTTCCTGTCGGGAGTAACCTTTTCTGCTTTTGCATGCATCTGTAAACATGATCCACACTTCCCTGGTCTGAGCTCCTTACTATATGACACCCTCCTCCGAAGTGGATCCTCATTGGTTCACAATTACATGTCGAAGTGGTAGAGGGATTTAAAGTGTTTAATTGATGGTGATATGTGGACTCAAATTTGGAAAACAATTAAATCTTGTTCCCGGAAAGCTTTTAGCTCTTGAAACAAACTACAAAGTGTTATATCAGAGGTATATGGTCCCCTCTCCGATAATATACTTCAGGACACGATGGGCATTGTTTTAGAGGTTGTAGAGAATTGTCCTATAGTAAGATCATTTTGGGGACAAGTATACAACTTGTTGGCAACCTTATTTGGGTTTTGTATGTCTTTGAACCCTTTGGAGACTACATTAAATCATCCATCCGCAAGTCTTACTAAACACCAGCTTAAGCTTCAGTTACACGTTTTTATGGCAGCTAAACAAAGTATTGCGAAAGCATGGCCCTCTTCTTTATCCTTTGCCGAAGAGAAGACTAGATTACATACTATATTCATCAATGAGAAATTAACGTCTTTGGCGTATGCCAAAATTTCATAAAGTTTGGGAACCCTGGATTGACTATATGAGATTAATATCCATTGACAGACGTCTTATTGGCCTTATTTTTGCATAGCCTTAGAACCTCAGCTGAATACATCCATTGGAATGGGAACCTCCGGGGGCACCCCTTTCCCTTCCCTCCTCTCCATGTTTTTTCCTCCCTGAGGTTTTCTTTTGTCTCTCCCTTCTTTTCTTCTATATATCTTGGTTCTTGTTAATGTCGTAGATTTCCATGATACTTCGGGATCTATGTTATCCATTATAAAGATTAAGTCAGTTTATTGTGCCATAATTGAGCTTGATGACTAATTGTACGAGGACAACAGGATGCAACTATAGGTTTTCTTCATGGCCCCCATAATCCTTGGTTTAAACTTATCGACCTGACCTCAGACTTTTGTTGTGATACTTGTACATATTTTTTACGGCACATCTTAGACCAGCGGTCTCAAAGTACCGGCCCGCGAGCCAGTACTATGTGGCCTGCAGCCAGCTGACAAGTCAGGTACGCGGTCATGTGGTCAGGTACGCGGTCATCAATTGTGCATCCAGGGACAGTGTTTTCTAACCGCATGTAATCGTATTACATGCAGATGCTGTCATTAACTTGAATGGGTGACAGCTATCAGATTAGGCATTCCTGCTGCAGGAAAATGCAAGTTCCTGATGCAGGAATCCCTAATTGCACCTACACTTACAGATATGAATAGGGCCTTATTGTGTGTGTATTGTTGTCCATAGTACCATACCGGATATAATTACATTTTGATTTGAAGTATGACATTTGCCATGCGGCCACCATGGGAGGAAAAAAATTGTCGAGTGGCCCGCAAGTGAAAAAACTTTGAGACCCCTGCCTTAGACCAACGTGCCATTCTCGCACACAGTCTTGCTTTCTAGAGTTGTATTGTTTTTTTGTGAACCCAATAAAAATGATTGAATAAGAAAACAAAAGGACTAATATTTATTGTAAACATACATAGTTACATAATTATTAAAGTTTATGTCCCATTGAAATTGTATTAGGTTTTGGTAGAGTGGGGAAGGGTTACTGCTATTCGGGGCTCCTGAAGAGAGATTCACAACCTCATGCCCTGTTGATGCTTTACCAGGCAGGAAGTGAGAGTAAATCTCCAATAGCAACATGTACAGAAATAAAAATGCCTTTCTTCAGTAGAATAGAAAAAGGATAGAACCACTGTCAGACTTTTATTTTTGTCTGTGTCCCTGTTGCAGATTTTCCCTTACATTGTATCTAGTAAAACTTTAGTCAGCAGGACAGTAAGTGAGAGTGTCAGGGTTATTCACAAAAGGGTGAAGAGTTTGGAGAAGGCAGGAGAAGTGAACGATCTAGGACAACATAACTGAACTGGAAAGTGAGCTGAATTGGAGATTTTATCTAAATCAGCTATTTTGGCCTAGATTGTTCACTTCTCCTGTCTTCTCCAAACATTTGACCCTTTTGTGACTAACACTGTAAATCTCTCTAATGGAGTCATGAATATGTCTTTGGCTTGACATAAACATTAGGAATGAAAAAAGTCTGATGTCAATTAAGGTCAGCCTTTCACAAACACCAACAATTTTGATCAAGAGGATAGGGAAAAGTGAAACCTTTCTGACTCCACAATATGGTTGGATTATTTTCATTTTCCTAGATAAAACAACATACTATCCTTAGTAAATTAAAACTTCTGGTTTTGCGAAAAGCATCCAAAACATTTTTGTTATTTGAGTTTACATTGACATGTTTATAAATAATATTTAGATCACCTCTTTGTTATTTCTTCTCCCAACTCAACAAGCCAAGTTTTTGTAACTCACACAGTTGCCTGCCCCTGTACACTCCCTATATCAGCTTAGATCTTTTTACAGTATGCTGTTCAAAACCGACATCACGTGCTTTCATGCATTTTTGTGCATCCCTGTATTTAACTTTTCAGCTGTAGAGTGGTTTAAATTAAATTCATTTTTTTAAAGTCCTTTTCCAATACTGTTTACCCCAGCTATAGTCAATTAAGTCAATCAGTTTACTCATTTGTATTAAAGGTATAGTCCATCACAGGAGATAGTTTGCAGCAGTGGCTACTTCACAATACACACAGGGACCATGGGGAACAAAAATAGCCCCCCTCCAGAAGGAAGGACAGTGTCAGCACCAATTCAGAGATGATTTGAGGATCTACAACTGGGTGCTACACAAATAAGATACATTTTTGGTAATAGTTAGGGTACTTTGCCTTTTTAAGATTTACCTCCTCAGTTTAGTGTCACTTTAATTTCAAGCATCCATTGGTCAACTTTTCTTCAGTTCCCTTTTCTTTCCTCCCCCTCCCTTTCAAAATCACCTATTACTTTTTTTGACAGTTTATAAATATCATTTTTTTAAAGAGGGGGTTCTTAATTCCATGTTCCCCGCCTAGGTGAAGGTAAAATAGTCCTTCTCTGCCCCCAACCTTGTATATTATATTGCTAACATTATCTATTATGTAATAGTTACATAAAATGCATGAAAAGGAAAGTGTTTTTAGGTTTTGTGAAGGTATGATACTGCTCCCATTCTTTAGCAGATGGCCTTAACAATAGCGTTCTCTTTTACTAACTATATGAGGCATATAGAAAACAATTGTCCACCACTGCTCACAAACATATTGATCATTAATATTATAATTTTTATTTATTTATGTTTTTCTCCCCCAAAGTTTTTTCATTGCATTTTTCATTTCCTCGTTCCTCAAGGTGTAGATAAAAGGATTCATCATCGGTGCTATGATAGTATAGAACACCATCACAACTTCATCAGATTGAAAACTTTTCGATGGTCTCATGTAAATGAAGACACAAGGTCCAAAGAAAAAGGTCACCACTGTAAGATGTGCGATACAGGTTGAAAAGGCTTTTTGTCTCCCTTCAAATGTTTTTATTTTGAATATAGTTTTGCCAATGCCAATATAGGATATTAAAACAGATAAAAAGCAGCCCAATGATACAATGCCACTGTTGGTGACAATCATGGCATCAATCATGGTGGTGTCAGTACATGCCAGCCTGATTAGAGGAGGGATGTCACAAAAGAAGCTGTTGATTGTATTGGGGCCACAGAATGGCAGTCCCATAGTTAGTGTTGTCTGAATGTTGGAGTGGACAAAGCTAATAGCCCAGGTTGCTGCGACCATCCACAGACAAAGCTGTTTGTTCATAATAACGGAGTACTGTAGAGGGTTGCAAATTGCTACATAGCGATCATATGCCATTGCAGTAAAAATAAAACATTCTGCACAGGCAAAGAAGTGAAAGAAGTAGAGCTGTGTGATACAGCCATTAAATGAAATGGTTTTCCTCGTAGATAGGAAATCCACCAGCATCTTGGGTACAGTTACAGAGGAGTAGCAGAGGTCAATAAAAGACAGCTTACCTAAGAAGAAGTACATTGGGTTATGAAGGCGGTAGTCTTTCTTGATGGTCAGCATGATCAATATGTTCCCACTCAGAAGAAGAGTGTATAATAACAAGAATATTGAGAATACAAAGTATTGAAGATAGGAAGAGAATCTAAACATAACAAAAACAAATTCTGTGACTTCTGTGTTATTGTGGTTCTCCACTACAGTGCTAAAAACAAGGGGTTCATGTAAGTCGATGTGGTCATTTGATATATTACCTAGCGAGGCCATGGTTCACCAAGTTGTAACACAATCACTAAATATAAAAAGAAGAAAAAACAGTGAATTGATATTAATATTTAGTATGTTAAGTGTGTACAGTCTTATGAAATAAGACGCTTTTGCTGGGGGTGCAGCACTCTAGATTTGAATGGCCCAGTCTAATCCACCACAGTACCAGCTACATATTTTCAGTAAAAAAGAGTTAACAATTAGGATCCATAAAGATCCAGCAGCGTTATCGTCCTATAATAAATATGGCTGTTTTATCTCTTTCAAACCTTGAAGTATCATTAAACTCAGGAGTTATATCTTAAAAATGCATTCAAGTACCTTAACTATTAACAACAATGTATCACTCGGCTGCAGATCCTCAAATCATCTCTGAATTGGTGCTGACACTGTCCTTCCTTCTGGAGGGTGGCTACTTTTGTTCCCCATGGTCCCTGTGTGTGTTGTAAAGTAGCCACCACTCCAAACTCACTCCTGTGATGGACTACAATCTCAATACAAATGAGTAAATAAACATAAGATTGTAGTCCATCATGGGAGCGAGTGAATGACCGACCTAAAGTGAAGTGAGCCGAACGCTGTTGTGCAGAAGGAGTTCGACTCAGCCGATCCAACATCTGGATCAGCTAAGCCGAACCTGAGGCAGGCTACTTGCTGCTGTTCAGTCTATTCCTATAGATGCCGAACAGCAGTGAGTGAATACCCGAATGCCGCTGAGCGGCATTCGGCTCTGCTGTTCTGCTCGGTCCCTCTGTGGTATCGAGCAAAACAGAAAAAATAGTTAAAAAAGTAGGAAAAAATAAATAGAAAACGATTGTGCGGACCTAGCAGTGACAGTTGGCTACGCCCAACTGTTTTCTATTGGCCGGCGGTTCTGCTGCCTGTAAAAAAAAAAAAAAAAACTCTCCCGCTCCCGGCCGCCAAGGAGAGAAACACTGCTTTTTCTTTCTTTTTTTCTTTATTCTGACACGGAGTCGTGTCAGAATATAAAAAATAAATAAATAATTTTTGGCCATAGGAATGCACTGCTAGATTCCTATTGGCTATTTCAATTTGCAATAGCCAATAGCAAACTAGCTATTGTACCCGCCCTCTGCTGCTGCCAATCAGTAGTGGTGGACCTGATGGAGAACTGCAGCAGAGGGCGGGTGCAATGCTAGTTTCCTATTGGCTATTGAAATAACCAATAGGAATCTAGCAATGCATTCTTATGGCCAAAAATTTATTTTTATTTTTTTTCTATTCTGACACGGCTCCGTGTCATAATATAGCTACGACTAGATCCTAAGCCTGCTTTGTGAATAGACCCCAATGAAGCCACAGGCATGACTTCCAGAGGCATGGTGGGATTTGTAATTTCACCACAGCTGGAGGGCCGAAGTCTGGCTTACCTGCTCTAAAGTATAGGTATGCTTTAATAAAAATATGAGTCTGCTTTCCAGCATTTCATATCAGGCAGAGACTATGGATCTGATTTACTAAAATCAAACTAAGTGAAGTAAACCTGTGCTTACATCATCCAAAACTGTGACATAAAACCTTTGTTTTCCATCCCTCTATACAAGCTTGGACATTTGACGTGAATACAGGTGTTCTTCTCTTATAGCATCTCATTTAGCACTTAGTATATCAGGCCAAATGCTTTTCTCACCTTTTAATCTGACATACTATTGACAATATGGTTGATGTGTTGGTCAGAGTGGGTGGTTCTGTATATATGACATATACCCTGCAGTGTGATGACAACTTCTCTGGTGAATGCATCTTACACTAGAAGTGGCTCCTGGTTATTGAACCTGTAACATACAAGTTGTGTGTCAATATATCCTATTATTACTAAACTGTTAGTAGTAAAACACTGACATTATCATATCCTTGAGTGCAGGTCAGGGGTGTTAAAGTGATCTGTCTGTAAGAATGATCTTCTCTCCATGATTGGGCAGCTTTACATGAGAATGTTTTTTTTAGTCCTAGCCTAGAGTGGATGTATTATTATTATTATTACATTGATATAAATTGAGACACAGCCAGGCTTGTTAGCATAGTTAGTTAGTGATTGTCAATGTCTTCCATTTAATCAGAAATACAGACTTACAACTTATTACCTAAGGCCTTGTTCGCACGCGGCTTTAAGGTCTGGCTGCGGACTCTCAGCAATGCACAAAGCAATGACAGGCAGAACAGAGGCTTATCTGCTCATGTTCAGATGTAATCACACATGGAGCTGTGTGCGTCCAGGGGTGATAATATCTCTCTAACTGTAGGCTCTGTGTGTGATTACATCCAAACTGACAGCTGAGGCCGCTTTCAGCCTGTTATTGCTTTGTACAAGCTGAAAAGCCACAACTTCCTGGAGCCACCTGTGATTTGTGCTGCAAAAGTCTGCAGATTTTTGCCACAGGAATCTACAGCTGTAACTTAAAGCATTGTGCAAATGAGGCCTAACTGTGTGTATGTGTGTAAATGCTACATCTTTGCTTATGTGATTTATATAATATACTGTATATGTTAAAATGCAATAAAAAACCTTCCTTAAAGCATATCTAAACCCGAAAGCAAAACATTTAATATATTGCTGTTTACCAATTCTTAGATGTGGTGGCTGCATTAGTTTAATTTTGTAGATTTTTTCCCCTTTATTTTTACCTGGTGATCCAGCCAGTAACACACTTCCTGTCTTAGGAGGGCTCCACTCTATGGAGGAGCAATAGAGCCACCCTTGGACAACACCATTGCTAACCTGTGGAGAAAGTAGTGTTGCACCATAAGATTTAGATGGACTTGATTAATAAATGAAACAGTTACGGTACCAGTTTTTTCCCCCATTTGTGATAAAATATTTTACATTAATGAATAAAAACTAACCATTGTAAACACAATGAAGGAAAACAAAATCTGAAAAAAAGAAAATGAATGCAGCTACCACATCTAAGAATTGGTAAGCTGCAATATATTTTATTTTTGCTTTTGGGTTTAGATACGCTTTAAGAAAGTTTATCATGCATACGTGTACTAATCTATATTAATACTTTTTAAATAAAACAAACAGCATTTATATAAAAATACTCAACATTTAAAATGCTGTTAGATGCACTTGTGTTCTTGTCTTGGTGCAGTTAGGTATCTATTACCTGCTCTATGCCATAGAGTACAATGTGATCTCAGTGTAGATTCCCTCTGCACAGATGATAGCCCCCTCTTCACTGAATATAATTACAATATGCTGCAAATACCACACACACAGCTGCTTTTATTTGATGAGTCCGTCCATGGGGAAAAGATCGAATGGAAATTAGCTCAGGTTATTCTTACCATTTCCTTGGAGACAATGAATTTTCTTCTTGAACAAACCTCTTTGATTCTTCTTAAGTTTACTTCAGAGAACAAAGTTTCAAGTTTGGAAACTTTTCCCTGTTTTGTTAAAGTAAACTTGTAGTGTGTAGACTCCCATTGTGGACCTTTGTCAACCTGTGGACGTTGTGGAAAAATGCTAGTTGTGAGGCTATTAGAGTGATACAATGACTTCAGCAGTTTTCAAGTAACTGATAAGAAACAAGTTTATATATAAGGAATGGGGATAAGCGAATTTGCCTTGGTTCAGATTGCAAACTTGCCAACGTCATAAATCCTGGGTATGCGCCATGAAACCATGATAGTGCAAACCTGGACCTCATCCCTAATAAGGAGTTAAGATTTTTTACTGAATTTTAACTCATCATGTAGTTCAAAATGAATGGGACCTACAGGTATAGGAGAAAATCGCTGTTATCCTGAGATGTGTTTTTTTTTTCTTCATTTAATCCCAGACCACTGGGACTACGGTATGTAGCTACCTTCAGCTGATTGGAGATTGGCAAATCAATCAAAACAGCCCTGCATAACCCCTTCCACTCCCAGCCTGCCTCTGTTTTCTCTAGTGTCCTTAAGTGATGGATAGTTTTTCTCAGCTCTGAGAGAAGCACATCCTTATGTCCCGCTTCTAAACATCCTATACAAATTTCCCTCCACTGATTGGTTGTGGTTCAGGCTAATCTTGTTTACCTTTCTGGTATTGCTTCTAGCTACAAGTCTCCTCCCTCCGATTCATTCCATTATAGTGAGGTGGATTTGGTGAACTGAGTTGAAGGGGTAAAGTTCCCCGTTTTTTTGGTAAAGGTTCACTCTACTCAAAGTGTTAGTACTTCTTGGGCCTTCCAGCATCAGACTTCGGTATCCTGAGCCTGTAAAGCCACCATCTGGTCCTCTGTTTTCACTCTTGCCGAGTTTTAACAGGTGGACGTTCAGATGTTTGCAGATGCTAGCTTCCGCTGCAAACCTCTGACTTCTGGGCCCCTTCTGACTTCTGGGCTACAGTTTTCTGTTGGAGTTATTTATGTTTTCTAATGGGCCTGTTTAGCTGTTATTTGCTGTGTTACCCACCTCTCTGTTAGACTGCTTTTGGATGTCCTTTCCATTTAAGAATGAACTCCCTGTGTCCTTTGATGTACAATGAAGAAATCAAGAATTTTGTGTTGACCGTAAAATCTGTTTCCATTTGGGAAGACCTCTTTACTTGCCTTCCTGTAGAGCAGCGGTCGCCAACCTTTCGGACCTCATGGATCACTAAATTCATCATTTTAAATCCAGCAGACCACTAATATGAATTTTTCTTAAAAATATATATATTCTCATATTTTTTGTTTCCTCATATATAAATATATTCTCGTGACAAGACACAGCAGTATTTCTCTCCTGGGTGGCTGGGAGTGGGAGACTCCCGGGCCGCCAGGGAGAGTTAGCTGTTTGGAGATCAGTGTCCCTGGTTAACGCCCTCCCACTCCTAGCAGACATCCGTCCGGCCGTTCACAAACGGCCATGGACGGAAGGTAGTTAAAGATGCCGAACAGCAGTGAGTGAATAGCCAAATGCCGCCGAGCGGCATTCGGCTCAGATGTTCTGCTCGGTCCCTCTTCGGCTTTCAGCACGGCTCAGCCGAGCCGGTGCATATGCGTTCGGCTCGA